CATTCCCTAGGCAGGTTACATACCTAGTGGATGAAGCAATGGACACAGGGAAGGGGCCAAATACTGTTGTCAGCTATGTCCATCACTACATTGAAAACAATGGCGTCAATGCTAGTATGATCCATCTCAATTCTGACAACTGTATAGATCAAAATAAGAGTAATACTTTTATTCAAGATTTGGCCTGGATAGTAGTAACACAGGAAAAATTTATTAAGATCTCCTTCTTCCAGTTAGGCATACAAAGTTCTCACCAGACTGGTGCTTTGGGCTCATCAAACAGCTTGGGAAGACTGCAGTACAATCTTTGGAGGATATTGCTAAAGTTGTTGATAATTCTGCAGTAGTGAACATTTCCCAATTGGTTGGATCTAGCACAGGACAGGTTTTAGTGTATTGTTTTAATTGAACGGGCTTTCTGCAATGTCTTTCTAAGCACATAGATGAGATAAAAATAATTCACCATATCATGCCGGAGAAGAATTCACTACTGCACTGAGATTTCTTAGGTCAAGAATCCATGATAGTAGCATTAGAAAAAGAAGTTTATTGAGAAATGATGTTACCCTGCCTCCTTCTGATACACTACCAGAGGTGGTACTACCAAAGGGGTTATCAGCAGAAAGGCAGTGGCACTTATTTAAAGAAATTAGGAATTTTTGTGCGGAAGGACAAGTCATCCTCCTTCCCTTCTGTTGCAAAGCCTTAATCATCAGCCCACCATACACCTGAAGCACCACATCGGTTGGGACTAGTATGGGTGTTCCGCCAGCTCCTGAAAGGAGGAAGCAGCAGTAAATGTGGCCTTATTGGTCACAACTGCTGGTCTTTCTGATTGACTTGTTTGTGCTGTGCTCTCTTTGTCTCAGAACTTTCTTGATCTCATAAGGTAAGCCATGTTAACCCTTTCACAGTCGGGGTTAAAATAGTTAAATCGTCCTGCTTCATTCAATGAGAGAGCTGCAAGTGTAGTTGCTATTATCAGAACAGCACAAGCATACCCGATAAGTTTATTTTGAAATGGGACAAAGGGACACTTGAAGTGCCTGTTCTAATGCTAAGCTTTATAGTATATGTTAACTTTTAGTCAAAATGAAGAGAAGTGTTTTATAACTCTTGTTATAAACATGGCTGTGGCTACAGTTCCAGTAACCGGACATAGTTTGCAATTGCTAGAGCTACGGCAGTCTGTTTCTCTCAGTGAAACAGCTTGTGCGTACGTGCAATAGTGCAAATTGGAACTTAACCTTTTTGTCAAGAAACACTAAACCCTAACCGAAAAACCCTACTATCCCGGAGGCTCAGATGTACGAAGGGGTGCTCTAAAACAAAACGCTAGACCCCAATTCCAACCCTACGACCCCGGAGGCTAAGATGTACGAGAGGGTGTTATTTCTTGACCTATGCTCTAAAAACTTAACACTAAACCCAAATCCAAACCCTACGACCCCGGAGGCTAAGATGTATGAGGTGTTTCTTTCTTGACCTAAAAATGCCAAAAAAAAATAGCAAAAAGTTAATTTTTACAAAAGAAAAAAAACAAAAACTGCAGCATAGTTTCACTCATTAGTCTTGACCGGATTTGAACTGCTGACCACATCTGTGCAATCCACACCAGCCTCTCCACTGCACCACCACGACCTTGCTGCATCATCAACGCTGGTTGTTGTATTTATACTCGGTTTCTATAATAAATCCGTCTATTATTAAGACTGTGGCGTAGCCCCAGAATAAATATAGGGGTGAAGCCCCTATTACGAGATCTCTAGCTCTGTATACTGTGTCAGGTTACCGGAGCTCTAGACACTTCCTATAAACATCAAGAAACAGAAATAATTTATAATTGTGGTAATACATACTAAATCTTGTCTATACACAATGTGTTGCAACAAATTTGTAGCTTTCTATTCTTCAGAAGTCAAGAAACACGGCTAGCGAGAGAGCCTACTAGAACAGCCTCAAGACCACGCCCACTGACCAAAGTGCCAAAGAAAGGCCTGAAAACACAGAAATATACCATCTCGACTTCAAAAATGTCTTCTGTACGTTCTGTTTTAGTTATCCTATAAGTTTTAAGCTTGTTCTCCAAAATGCAAGCAAGATATGGGAGAAAACGGGCTCCTCATTTGAGTTGCTTTGAGACAAGCCTACTTCATTTCTCCATTGGTTTGCATAGCGGAAGATAGGTAAAACAGTTTCTTTTTCTAGGCGCTTCATAAACCTTATAGCTACTTGTAATAGCTCTTTGGACTCCTCACTGACCAAAGTGCCAAAAAAGGCCTGAAAACACAGAAACATACCATCTTGACTTCAAAAATGTCTTCTGTACGTTCTATTTTAGTTATCCTATAAGTTTTAAGCTTGTTTTTCAGAATGCAAGCAAGATATGGGAAAAAACGTGCTCCTCATTTGAGTTGCTTTGAGACTCGCCCACTTCATTTCTCCATTGGTTTGCATAGCTGATGATAGGTAAAACAGTTTCTTCTTTTTCTAGGCGCTTCATAAACCTTATAGCTACTTGTAATAGCTCTTTGGACTCCTCACACATCACAAAAGAAATACCTTGTGGCTATTTTTTGAGCACATTATGTGTGAATGAGATAGCAAGACTTATTTTGCAGTCATAAATGACAACAATTGTTTCTTTATCAGTAACACAGCAAAACAAGTAGCTACCAGCTTATAACATGTAAATAAAGAAAGAGGTTTAATATAGCCTACAATACCTTTAGTTTCTGCAGCAGACTAAATATTAATAGTTTTAAGCAGCAGTATGCATCTCGACGCACTTTCAAAAACCCACCCCCTGACGCATTAATGTGTTATTGACTGTGAGAGGGTTAACTGCGCTTAATAAGAATTTTTGTTAGCCCTTCACATGTACCTGGTGTATTCCCTCTCTCGTTTTGCAAGTGAAGTTACTCTAATGCACTCTCCAGATTTCCTACTCTATGTTCTACATGTTTCACAAGTGTCATCTCTTCTCGCACACTTTCTGATTTGAGTTCCTGTCTTGCTTTAAGTGTCACTTCTAAGTACACATCCTGTTCTGAACTATCACTCTGTTCCAGTTCCTTTGGACAACTCTTTTTCTCTCTTCTTTCGTCCCTCCTATGTTACCCTATTTAGCATTTACAAGTACATCCATCACTACACATAGGAACTTTCACTCAATACAGGTCTCGATCTCTCTACACGTACATCCATCACTACCAGTAACCTGCTTCACTTAATCGGTTGATCTCCACACAAATCAAAACTAAATTCAACATCTCCATGCCCTCCACTCAGTTTTGAACAACAATGAAGAATTTCATTTCAAAATCATTAAGGACAGTAGAAAGTTTGTCATAGTCACATCATAATTATTACAAGTAAATAAAAAACATCAAAAATTGGAGAATAGTAGGATTGAATGGGGAAAAAAGTAAAGAAACAAGAAGGTAATTGCAAACTGGTGTGTTGAGAAATCTTACACCACTGTATAAAAAATAAAGGCTTCATAAAGTGCTATCATAGTTGGCTGTAAGAATAAATTGCAATGCTTTTGGGTAGTTTTCTTCATGCAGTGGTGTAGGATTTCTTACCACACCAGTTTGCAAGTACCTTCTTTTTTCCTTCGTTTTTACCACATTCAATCCTACTATTTTCCCATTTTTGATGTTTTTTATGTAATTGTTTCTATTCTTTTTTCTTAAATCAAGAAATTACATTCTGTTATGATACTGCTAGGTTAATTATTTTTTTCTAATCACATGTGCATAAATTAAAATGGTGTCAAACCACAAACCCACACGGTGGCTGCAGCTGGATTTTGTCTTTCATTTTGTTCTCTGTCCTCGTTTCTTTTTGAAACTACCTTGGTGGTCTTTGACCTAAGCCCAGAGGAGTCATGTAAAAGGCAACTTCAGCACTTCTCTAGATTAAAAGATTATCCGGTGCATAGAAGAAGATGAAAGAAGAAAAAGTCTGAAGAATTTTGTAGAAATTTGAATTTGGGCCTGTTTTTCAGAAATGCTCTCACTACATTACAGTTCACTTTAAAGGCACCAGGAGAATCACTGTGAAGGAGAGCTCATCTAAGCCAGTTATAAAGGCTGTACAACATAAGATAAAATAGTTATACGTGTTTGAAAATCATTAGATAAAGCATGCAGTGACAAAAGCTGTGTATAACAGGAGAGGACACTATGTTACACTATAAAGGTAAGTTATACTGACAATATGTACACAATACACATTAACATCTTTTGTATAAAATTAGATGCCGCTAACACATCAAGCAATACATCTGTATAACCGTAAAGGACACAATGCTACACTACTAAGGAGGATTATACTAATAATAAGTACACAATACACATTACAATCTTTGGTATACAATTAGATACTTGTAACACATGAAGTATTACATTTGTATTACAGGAGAGGACACTATGCTAAACTACTGAAGTGAATTGTACTAACAATAAGTACTTAATACACAGTGCCATCTTTTATCTACAATTAGATATTAAAGACACGTCAAGCAATACAACAGTATAGCAGTAAAGGACACTATGATATGCTACTAAGGTGAATTATACTAATATTAGGTACATGAAACACATTAACATCTTTTATATACAATGAGACACTCCTAATACATCACGCAATACAACTGTATAACAGTAAATCACAATATGCTCTGTTACTATGGTGAATTGTACCAATAATAAGTACACGATACACATTACCATCATTTATATACAATAAGATATTACAGACAGCACAAGGAATACAACTTTATAACAGGGAAGGACACTATGCTACACGATTAAGGTAAGTTATACTAATAAAAGGTACACAATACCCGTTACGATCTGTGGTATCGAATTAGATATGCGAAACACATGAAGTAATACATCTGTATAACAGTAAAGGACACTATGCTACACTACTAAGGTGAATTATACAAATAATAAGTACACATTGCATATTACAAACTTTTATATAAAATTAAGTACTCCTAACACATCAAGCAATACATCTGTATAGCAGTAAAGGACACTTTTCTATGCTACAAAGGTGAATTATGCTAATAATAAGTACACAATACACATTACCATCTGTATATACAATTAGACACTTGAAATACATCAAGTAATACAACTGTGTAACAGTGAATGACACTATGCTACACTATTAATGTAAGTTACAGTAATAAACAACACAATACTCATTACCATCTTTGGTATAGAATTACATACTCCTAATATGTCAAGTAATACATCTGAATAACAGTGAAGGACACTATGCTACACTACTAAGGTGAATTATAGTTAAAAAAATTACACATTACGATCTTTTGTATACCATTAGATACTTCTAACACAACAAGTAATAGAACTGTGTAACAGTAATAACATTATGCTACGCTACTAAGGTGACTTATACTAATAATAAGTACACAATAGACATTACCATCTTTTATATAAAATTATATTTTAGTGACACAACAAGCAATACAACTGTGTAACAGGAAAGGTCACTATGCTACACTATTAAGGTAAGTTTTGCTAATAATAAGTACACAATACACATTATGATCTTTTGTATATAATTAGATACTCCTAACACATCAAACAATACAGCTGTATAACTGGAAAAGACACTATGCTACACTACTAAGGTAGTGTAGACACAAACTATTATTACCACAAGTGATGTACTGTGCTACAAGGAATGAAGACAAAATACCTGCCTTATTATCAAATCTTCTATGACGTTGATGGATTATTCAAAACATTCTTTACACACAAATATATTGAAAATTGTTACCATGTATTCATTTTACATGTAATCTTTTCAGAATGAATTTAAGAAACTGTTTTAAATGTTTAGTCTTTTCTTTTCTAGGTTTGTGGCACTATGTCCTAAAAAGAAGAATTAGAAGGAAAACATACAGTCTGCTTTGTAAGCAGACTTGGGGTCAATTACAAATTTCCAATTACAATTACATGTTCATATCCATAAATTTGTTCCAAATAGCCTCAATTAAAATTACAATCACATTTCAGGTCTCTCAACTCAGTTACAATTACAATTACATTTTAATTTAATTACAATAATAATTACAGTTTTAAATCATAGTTACAATTAATGATTCAAATAGATTATTACTGAGACAACACCGCTCTGGCCTAAAAATTTTTCCTCCTATACTAATTTCCTTTCTACAGGTGCTGATGGTGCATGTATGGCTAAATAAACTGTGGCTAGTTTAGCAAAGATTGGGTATTTGTCCTTATTTTTTTCCAAAACCCAAGAATATCAATATCGTTATCATCGGCAGCAATGCAAGGAATTGACAAATATGCATTAATCTCAGATGATACTCCAACTTGGATTGCCTGAGTACAGTAAGTAGCACTAGACCGATCTTTCATAAATCCTAAGCCTGGTCCAGCCCTCATTGTAGGAGGAGGAAATCAGCTGGCATCTCTACCTAAGGTGGAGAAATTTCTTCTGCCTTCTTTAACAGTAACACCTTTGTCTCTCCACTTCATCAGTGCACCAATCAAGTTTGTATCTTGGATCTAACACTGTTGCCAATTTAAATATCTCCATTGATTCAAACTTGGAAAGCCTTTCGTCCAATGCATTCTGAAGAGAAGCAACAAGTTGGCAATTATATTTTATGGCTAGTTTTCCAGCTGTTCACCATGAGATTGAACACAAATAATAACCTCACTACCTGTAACAATATTTTGTCCTGAGCAATATTTGTTGCTTCTTCAAAGGGTCTCAAAATCCCACACAAATCTTGCAGTAATTTTATTTCGTGTGCTTTTGACTTATCTAAAAAAGCTATTTCTTGCATAATATCATCTGGAACTTGTACAACACTTCTGATCATTTTGAGTTGACAGTTCCACCTAGTAGCATTAGGAAGTTGTAGTTTATTGCATTTCTCTAAGAGTTCAGAAGCAAGATGAGATTTCCTGACAAAAGACACTAATTTTGAAACTTTGCTAATCACTGTCCTCAACTGGCCAGCATCCCTAAGTCCATCCTTTACAGCTAACTGTAGGGTGTGTGCGAAGCAAGGTATTCGTCAGGGACAGGTGTTTCTACTGCTGCTGACAGGATACTACCTTGAACAAATCCTGCCAAATCCAAAATCATAGGTTTAAGATCATCTTCCTCTTCATCCTCTACTTATTCCTCATCCTCATGATCCTCTTCAGTAGCATACCCAGGTAAAGAGAAGGCTTTTACCATGTGAGCAGCACTGTCAGTAATGACTGCTGTGATTTTATTATGAACACCATATTCTGTAACAATTCGTCATAATGCTGATAAATAGTTTCTCCAGTGTGCGATCCATAAACCCTTCGACATGTTAGCAACACAGACATCAAAGTGAAGTTTTCAATAAAATGCGCAGTAACAGCAATGAAAGACCTCATATCTCTACTGGACCACAGATCTATTGTTAGACAAACTCCAGGTGCTTCTTGAAACTGGAGCTTCATCTTTTGATGAATGTCGGCACATCTGTCAGGAATCAGCTTTGTACATAAATGCTTTCTGCTAGGCATTGTATAAGCTGGCAGGGCCTTTTCTATTACTTCCCTAAAAGCAACACTTTCCACTAGGGAAACAGGTACTAAATCTTTAGCAACAAATGAGACAATAGATTGTGTGAGAGAGATTTGTCTGTCATAGTTGTGGTTCCATTTCCTTAGTGCAGTTGTGTAGTCGGTAACTTTAGCTTGTGTTGCTGGGCTACACTTACTAAGACTTTTATGTATTTCGGGATGTTTCCTCTAAAATGAGACATACTTAAAATGCCACATTCTGATAAAAATGCTGCTTAGCTTACCTTTAGATGTGTAATAAAGTTTGAAGTTGCCTTATATGATCCAGACACTTTAACTTTACAGTGCTTACAAACTGCTTTGAATTTTGTAAGACGAGCATCAGTACTTTCAGCTTCAGGTAGGTTGTAATGATCAAAAACAGGAGAATTTGCCATGACAGAACTGAACACGTGAAACTAAAACAATCACATGACTTTACAGGTGGAATATGCATGCATAAAAGTCTATGGTTTAGTTATCTCCTTTGGTGTAAATGTGCCTTATCAGGTGATGTAATTTATCATTAGTTACAATTACAATTACAATTACAGTGCATAGTTTGAAATATATGTCAATTACAATTACAATTATGTAATTGTAATGGCAATTGACCCTTAAATTACAATTACAATTGTAATTGACCCCAATTCTGTAAGTGCGTAATAGTCTACCTTTGTTCTCAGAGCGCTATCAGGCAATGCACACGATAGCTGGAATGGTCAATGGGTACTTCCTTAGTTTGCTTGATGGCTAGAAGAATCAGAAAAAAGTCAAACTACAACCTAAATTTTGAGCGCTCATATGGCATACCAAGTGGGACAAAAACAATGAGAGTGACACAACATTATGCCACATGCAACATGCGTAAAATGAACAGTTATTTGTGGAAGGAGCTCCAAAGCTTTGGCCTCTCGCAAAAATGGCTGACTACAATGTCGTTGACAATGACCAAGCTATTTGGGGATAGAAAGACTTGTTTTCTGAGGTAGAAACTTTTCTAATACGCTCAAAGAGAGAAATAGGTTGCTGTTTGTATGATTATTCTGAGTTTGTACTTGGAAGGCTTCATAATTGAGTACAAGTACTCTTGAGGGTCCTTTGTAATGTTTTATCTACAGTAAACGAGTCAGAAGAACTAACCACATTGCATCATTCTGTAAATGAGCTGATAGACAGTTGTATGTTGCTAGTGACATTGAGGCAAAACTATGTAGACCGTATGGATGCCACATTGGTATCAATGGCAGCTTCAGATGAATATGTTGTGCCAATGACAGTTAATGGACTTGGTCGACCTCATTTAGCAATTTGTGGAGATCAGCTTGAATATCTCCGAAATTTGAATTTGTCTTGGAGTGAGGTAGTAAGATTACCAGGTGTTTCTTGTATGACAATATATAGGAAGAGACAACATTTCAACATGGATGAAAATGATATCTGTCAAAGTATTAGTGATCAAAATCCAATACGCTTCTGAAGGAAATTAGAGCACAGATGCCAAATGCTGGGGAGACTGTTGTTATGGAACAACTTCGGTCATGGGGATATTTTGTTTCTTGTCAACAATTAAGGGAAGCAAATCGTCAGACTGATCCAAGCAATACACCACTTAGGTGGTGAGGTATATTAACTACTCGTCATCCATATTCAGTTCCTGCTCCTAACTCCTTGTGTGGCATGTAGGTATGTTTGGATATTAAGATTAGTTATGTGTGGTACATGTACATGTTTAAAATTTACTTTTGATTATTTTAATGGTGAGCATTAACCATGCATTACTCTATAGATGGACATCAGAAACTGATTAGATTGGGCCTCGTGACTCATTGTGGCATTCATGGATACAGCAGAATTATAGTTTATTTAGTGTGTAACAGCATAGATTGAGTAGGAGAACTGGATTGGAAACGGATATCGATCACGTGATTTTTCATGTTAGTTTAATAGTGTCGTTGGCACGCACCTTTGATGAATATCCTTGTTTTGCTTGTGGGTGTGGTTTAGCAGCTATGGCGGTTGTCTTATTGGCAAGTTAGAGTGGTAAAACAAGTGATAAACAGCAATAATAGACAGTATTTCTCTTTAATTTATATACATTAAGGTTAGTAAAGGTGTCATGTTTACTTTTCCTTCATAAAAATAAAGTATTTAAAGCTATTTACCTCATTCCAACAATTACTATAGTACAATTCACACCTACATTCACCCTTATTGTACCTGTTTTGATTTAATGATATAATTTACTTCTGTTTTAAAGGGTTTTAATTCTACCTTGTCATGCATCCTTATGGAATGATATGCTAACTTGGCTTAATTTGCATTAAGTTAACTTAGTATAATACATAAATGATGCATTTTATTAATGTGTTTTGTGTACTTGTGCCAAGCTACCAAGTCTTCAGTTTTAATTGTTCTATCTCTTGAGCATTAGTATGAATATGTTAGAATGGAACTGTAAAAAGTTTACGTCTATACTTTATTACAGGTTTTACTTGTTTATGATGGGACGAAAGCACAGTCTTTCTTATAAAAAATTATGAAAGAAAGAGACAAAGCTCTTCAATCTCTAGCTGTCTTAGCAGTACTACAAGTGACTTGGAATCATCTTTATCTAACAATGATGAACATAATTCTACCAGCACATGTACATCAGACACAAATACAAATACTTCACCCATG